CTCAATGTGTGTGTAATAAATTATACACATTGCGCTGATGCTCAAGAGATGCTCAGACAGGCAATACAATAAGAGTTTGTCTGCTATAATTTAATAATTTCCAGTATTTGCATCTGCAACACTCCTCCATATGTATTGCCAGTTTATCACGCGTCTCCTGCAAAAGCACTTATTCCTCTTCTAGGTTGAATGACACCCAAGGTCTTGGAAAACCGTAAGCCAATCACAAAGTCGGAAAATCTCATTTCTGGGGCTTTTTTTTACACAAACAGCAGACCGAATTCTAGAAATTGTTGTTATGGTTTCATGAAAGTGATGCTAATTTTTTTGGGGGGGGCAGATTGAAGCGAAAAGGACATTTTATTAACATTAAACGACTGTATAGCAACTCTACATGTTATATTGATATTCTAATAATAGTGACATTTTCCTTTAAAAGTTTCCTGGGACATTTAGATATTGGTCCTTTTCCAGCTTGAGCATGTAAGATAAGATTGTCCTCCCTGCTTGCCATAGAAGTGTGGAGAACGGATTATGTGAGAAATGCGCGGTTTAGAGAGGGAACAAATTAGTCAGTGATCTGGACGAGTTGACTCTGGAAGTTCCATTCAAGCCTTTCGTTGGACAGGAATTCCACATAGCCGCAGGGTTAACATACTATCGATTTCTCTGCGGGGCGGAGGCATTGCGTGTTTGTGTAATAACTTGTTCATCAGCTTACCTGGCAACAACAGGCTTTCATCCAATGAGTGTCATAAGAAAGCTGCGTTTCAGGCTATTTCTGCTTTCAATGCACACAGACATCAAATTGTTTTCCTGGGGCATCAGTTTTATTTTCATTTTGTTTTTTTAGGTTTATAAAATGTTTGGTGTGTGTGTATATAAGAAGGTTGTCTGGTCTGATGATTCACGGTTTCTTTTACATCATGTGGAAGCCCGGGTGCATGTGTGGGTCGCTTACCTGTGGAAGAGATGGCTCCGGGATGCACTAGGGGAAGAAGCCGGTGAAGGCAGTGTGATGCTTTGGGCAATGTTCTCCTGGGAAACCTTGGGTCCTGCCATTAATGTGGATGTTACATTGACACGTTCCACCAACCTAAACATTGTTGCTGACCAAGTACACCTCTTAGGAGAACTATGAGGTGAGTGCTTTTCACTAACCTCATAGTTCTAGCCGACCTGTGACAATGAGACTGTCACAGGTCGGCTCAGTAGATCGGGAGGTGAGCGAACATATATACCCGCGTTCGCTCACCTCTCGATCCTGTCACGGCTCTCTGCCGTGACAGGGGAGGGGCTGGATTCCCCGCTCCGATCCGCCAGCGTTGACTGGCGGAACGGACGGGGCAGGGGGCGGGTACAGCTGTCTCTGCCTCTAGATAGGCAGAGCCAGCTGTCACTCACGCAGCTGGGCGGATCTCGACATCGATGTCAGGATCCGCTCCGGCTGCGTCGTCTCAGTATACCCCGAGCTGTAGCTCGCGGTATACTGAGCTTAGGGTAACGGGAGGACGCTAGTTTGTGTCCTCCCGTTACCCTAAGGAGAACTATGGGGAAAAGCCTTGACCCCATAGTTCTCCTTTTAATGGAAATGGCATTCCCTGATTTCAGCAGGATAATGTGCCATGCCAAACTGCAAAAATCGTACAAGAATGGTTTGAGGAACATAACAAACGAGTTTGAGGGGTTGACTTGGCCTCCAAATTCTCCATATCTCAATTCAATCGAGCATCTGTGGGATGTGCTGGAAAAACAAGACTGATCCCTGGAGGTCCCACCTCGCAACTTCCAGGACTTAAAGGATCTGGTACTGACGGCTCGGTGGCAGATAGCACAGCATACCTTCAGAGGTCTAGTGGAGTCCATGTCTTCACGGGTCAGGGCTGTTTTGGTGCAAAAAGGGGGACCAACTCAATATTAGGCAGGTGGCCATAATGTGTGTGCGTGTATAAATACACACACTGATATGTAGGGGGGAGGAATCGCTACTCTATTTCCCTTGAGTGTGCAAATTTCATATTGAGCTGTTGATCTTTGTAAACAGGCTATTTTCAAAAGAAGCTAAGAAACTGCAAAAAGTGCCGAGTGCTCTGCATATGAAAATACGCAATATTCATATACATTTACCTGATAAATATTAAAATTCAATATTTAAAGAAATATTTTTATACTTGGTATTTTTTTAGTGTTTTCTGTAGGAAAGAAAACATGTACACAAGAAAATCTGGAGAATGTTTAAATAGATACGGTCACCTTGCCCTGACAAAGGGGGTCCCAACCCATTTACCAGCACCTTCCTACTTACAACACAGCCGGCAACAATACCCGATTCTTCTGGGTATGGCTCCCCCCACGTGGCAGTGCTTATATCTTGCAGCCAATCACTAAGCCCAAGAGTGCTGTCCTTGGGGTCCAACACTGCTGCAATGGTGAAAGGTGTGGTGGGGAAGCGCTTGTAAGGTGATTGAAGGGTAGGGGCCGTCAATCACTTTGTGGACAAGTTGACAGTGTTTCTTTAAAATCAAAGATGTTTCCCATCTATATCATGATTTTTATTTTTTATTATTATTATTGTAAGTCAACAATAGCCATGGCAGCCTACAAATATATAAGCTGCCATGGCTGACCTTCTGAATAATGCTAGTTACTTGACTGTTATGTTTGATCTTTGGTTTCAATGCATTCTAATTCGCTGACCCAGAATATCGAAGCGGACCAGTTCTGACTTTTATTCGACTTCTCTAGCTGCATGCTTGTTCCAGGTCATTGACTTTGACAGTGCTAAAAGAATATTCCATCTTTCTTAACATGTTTCATGCCACACCCATGTTTAGGCTGTTACATGAAACATCAAATTTCACGCCTTCCAATCAGTTAATCTGCCCCCCTACTCACCCGAATAGTGAGGTGAGTCTCCCTGGAACACCATGTGTATTTTTTAATTTGGCACAGCTTTGTGTGGCTCTAATAGTTGTCATTGCAACAGAAAGTGAAGTTCAATTTCCCCATTGGGGCCACAGATATCAGTAAACACTTGACAAAGCTGTAATCTTTCCCAACTCTATGTAAAATGGAAAAAAAAAAGGTTTTGGCTGGAATTCCGCTGCAAAGAAAATACACACCTGCAGATTCAGCATTCTATTTTCCTTTGGTATAAATAAATTCACCTCCATTTGTTGTCATCCATTTGCCTTATTATTCTCATTATAGCCACTTGGGCCACATCTATTCTATAATGTCATATCCCCACCCCCCTGGGATGTATCACACAGGCTCTGCTTCCAGACCCCACCCCCGAGTTACCATGTATTGGGGTCTATTATTCAGCAAGGTGGATAGCAGGTTTGATGGTTGACACAATGGGATTGTTGATAGAGACACAGTAAATAATGGAGTTTTACATATTCTTGAGCTGTGAAGGCAAACTCGCTAACGCCATCGAAGAACCTTGACTATCTTTCATTATTTTAAGCAGATACAATGTAAAGGAAAGTTATGAGCTGATGAGCCCATTAACTATTCCATAAATTCCTTTTTCTTTACAGATTATTTAGCTCTGCTCAGATTAACTGCTGTTGAAATTGAGGCTCCAAAACCCCATGAGCTCTATGCAGAAGTCGGCCAGGCGGATAGTAATTGCGTGTTTATTGGAAATGATTATAACTCACCGTTTGATTTTTCTGCCACTTGCATGAGTTTGTGTTCATGTTTTCACTTTCACATTTTATACATAACTGCAGCCTTAATGCACTGATTTGTTTTAGAACAGGAGCATTGGAGATAATAGACTAGCCTGTAGCAATCATTTCAAAGCTTTTTATAACCGCTGTTAAGAAAAACGAATGCTATTATCAGTTTGCCTTGGGCAGCAGCTCACATTCGTGCATTTAAAGCTCAACTACAGCTAAAACTTTGTTCTTTTAGTTCTCAATTAATTGGGGAATGGCTGAAACTTCTGCCGGGTTTTACTGCTGTCTGATAACTTTATTTGGGAGATTTCTCCTCGCTTTCCTTTGCCCTCACCTACTGTTGGCAGGACAGTATCTCACTAATGGGGACATGGCAATAGAAACCTAGCAGAGGTAGAGGTTTAACCCTTTCCCTGCTCCATAAGATGCCAGGTGGTACTTTTAGGTCCTGTGTTATCTGCACCACCTACACATGCTTTGTGTGGTGGGAAAAGTGACCAAGCATATGAAATTACAGACTTTTTAGAAAGTCTGCATTTGCATATATATCAGCAGCTCTGGAGTCCATGTTAGAACTGCCTCCATCCAAATGTTCTTTGCTGTACTTAATGCATCAATCATTCTTATGTGGGAATAGGCACAGACAAATAATTCTAGATGTCTGGTTTGGGTTCAGTTAACGTTCTGCGCCAGTGTAAAATATGAGACAATATCCAATTGCGCCAAGACATATGTCTGTAATATGATTTTGATTTGCGTTCCAGCTATGTCCGTCGAGCAGCGCCTGATGAAGATTGATCATACGGCCATACACCCGCACTTGCTGGATATGAAGATCGGACAAGGGAAATATGAGCAAGGCTTCTTTCCTAAGTTGCAGGCCGATGTGTTAATGAATGGACCAATAAACAACAAGTAAACATGGTTTTATTGCTTTCTAAAGCTTGCATTTAGCAAACCTTGAAATGGGTCAGACTGTCCAAGACTTGTTATGGGTTTAACCTGGGTGTTTGAATAATCCATTGCCTCCACCTCAGGAAGTGCAGTGGCAGGTTTTTCTCCCATAGGAGTTCCAGTTTGCATTATCTGCCATTTGAGACTTTCCTTCTATTGCATACTGGCTGATGTATAATATAGAAAACCACAGTAAGACATCTCCTTGAATTGGGGGAGGTGGGACCTCAAGGGCGAAGATATCACATCTGGAAGCCAGCCATAGATAGGTGGGTGGAGCTGGGACCTTGAGGGTCGAGATATCACATCTGCTAAAGACTTGTTATGGGTTTAACATGGGTGTTTGAATAATCCCTTGCCTCCCCTCTCAGGAAGTGCAATGGCAGGTTTTTCCCCATAGGAGTTCCAGGTTCCATCTCCTGGCATTGAGGTTTTTTTTCCCCATTTCATACTGCCTGATGTATAGTATAGGAAACAGTGAGAGATTTGGCGAGTGGGTGGAGCTGGGACCTCGGGGGTGGAGATATCTCACCTAAAAGCCAGCCAGAGATTGCCCAATGGATGAAAAAAACATTTTGGGTACTTAATTTTATAAGAGGTAACGAGATCAGTAAGGGCTGGACTGAGTCCCCAAGCTGCAGACAAGTGGGCAGGGTCCACTTAAATAGAGAATGATGGCCAGTCTGAGGCAGACTCCACCCACATTTCTACAGCATTTCCGCCTCCAGCTATAGGAGCAATAGCAGAGGGGACTGTCAACACTGTGCATTGGCCATGAAGAGCAGTTGGAAGGTGGCAGATATAACAGTTTGCTAGGTAGCCCAAGATTGTCTGCTATGATGCCCAATTAGCATGTGTTTTTTTTTTTTTTTTCTATTCATACACTTGTTTTTTGAGGGCATGTGGTAGTAGTACTTTCTTTGTACTGTTTTGTCTGTTCAAGTGCATCTTAACCCAAAACCAAAATGTAATGTATGCAGCCTGCTGGTGTTTAGACGTGGTGGCTGCCTTAGTATTCATTTTTTTAAGCTTAATTTTCTTTATAATAGAAATCTTTTATTGTATAGTCAGCCAGTCAGCCTTAGTTACAGTAGAAAATGAAAACCAACTCCAGCTATCACTTTTTAAGCAGTTAAAGCACTATTTTTTTTAATTTTTTTATCTGTTAATGGAAGTTGGAAAATAACAGACTTACTGCCTAGATCACCAGTGGAAAAAAAAAGGGGAAAAAAAGCCTAAAAAAGAAAACTAAGCCACCCATAATGAAACGCAGGTCGGCGGTGCGCCCTGAGTCTAATTCTTGAGCGAGCTCCGTGTTGGTCTGTGTCAGAGCTTACAAAGTCAATTACTCCCCTCCCTCATGTGATAGTGTTCGGGACTGACGATTGGCCCCTTAACTGGGAGGTCAGCGCTTTTCCATATGGAAATGCTGAGCTTTGCAGAGAACTCCTACAGATAAACCAAGTCTCAGGAAAGCGCTGCAAAAAGAAGTAGAAGCGGTTGGGGGGAGTGGCTTGGTTTCTTTTGCGCTGAATGGGGAAAGCTAAAGATTTTCTTGAATTCAGTAATGAAAGTGGAGTTTTCCTTTAACAATAAAGAGGACTGAATAAACCAACTGTTGAACACTCAGCACAAGTACATAATGAAGAATTCCATCCAGATAATTGTTTTATAGCAGAATTAAGCCCATATTGTGAAATGATTAATGCAAATTAATTTCCCCCCCCCGTTGATCTTTTTGGCTTGTCTCCACAGTCGCTGGGTCAGCCGGAACGCCACAGCGCAGAGGAGGAAGGACCGCCAGCGGCAGCACTCGGAGCACCTCGGATTAGACAACGACTTGAGGGAGGTACGTTGTCGCGCACGATTGCCAGCTCTACCTCCGGCAGCAGATGGCAAATGAGTCAGCCGCCATTTATTTTCTGAAATAATCAGTTTTGCCTCCAGCCGCACCTTTATAATAGCGGCATAAATTTCCGGAGCCGTCACAATCCTCCCACTTCCCATTGTTAATTCCGTAAGAGGAGTCATAAAAATCCAGACGAGCAGGTTTTTAATGTCGAATACTAATTGCAGAGAGCCGGTGGGGTGATCTTTTGTGCCGTTTTCATATTTATTTTTTTAGAACACAGCTCTGCCGGTTTTTATTACTTGGGCTGTCTAGGTTTCTGAAATAAACAATTCCATTTCAACTGCCGCTTTAAATCATTGCAACATTAAGATCTTCATTAGTGACCATTGAAGAAAAGCTATAAGTGCGTTTCATTGAGGACATATTTTGAGCGATTTAAATTTTAACCTTAAGGTGAGCATATTATGACAATGCAGTGATAACTGGATAGCAGCATGATCAATAGATCCATTCATATAGGCAGCTGAATTTTATATGCCAGTCATGTAGAAGTCTAGCTTTGCTCTATCCTTTTCTACAGCCTGAGCCTTTTTACTCCTTGGGTAGCCTTACTGACCAATAGGGAGGCTTGGTTGGTGGGAGACGGTTGCCTAAAGGCTAAGTCTACCTTTCTGACTGTGTTTTATATTACACCCATACTTAGGATGTCCACTTACTGAAATCAAGGGGTTCATCTCCCCACACGCTTGTGCACATTTTTTTATTTGGTGCAGCTGCGCTTGGCTTCATCCACACAGCCACATCATCCATTTACAGATCCTTTGACAGGATTTGTGAATGAAAAAACAAGTTCCATCAGCAACTGCAGCATAGAAACTTTTAATTCTTAATGGCATACAAGTGCAGTGACGTCACCACACTTGTAGTCTATTGACACTTTTTCCTGTCCATGTTATTGAATATTTGTACATCGTTACGGACATGAATGGCAGGAAGAGCCTGCAGAAGCCAGAGCATTGCACCTGTTATCCACTGATCGCGATTGCAATGCTTTACTGGCTCCAAATAAATAAAAAAACTATAAATGCACATTTATTTTTTATCAGCAGCATTGTTTTGCCCTATTGGAAAATATGTGCATGGCTGATTGCCCATTGAAGGCCAAGGGCAGAAGACTTGTAGGTGGTTTGCAGAACTTAAGTGACACTAAACTCAGGAGTTAAATCTTAAAAATGCATTTAGATTCCCTAACTATTAACAAAAATGGATCTTATTTGTGTATCACTCAGCTGTACATCCTCCAATCATCTCTGAATTGGTGCTGACACTGTCCTTCCTTCTGGAGGGGGGCTACTTTTGTTCCCCCTGGTCACTGTGTGTGTTGTAAAGTAGTCACCACTCCAAGCTCACTCCCACAATGGACTACAATCTCATGTTTACTTTGCTCATTTGTATTGAGATTGTAGTCCATCCTGGGAGTTAACTTGGTGCTGTGGCTACTTTACAACACACACAAAGTCCATGGGGAACAAAAGTAGCCACCCTCCAGAAGGAAGGACAGTGTCAGCACCAATTCAGAGATGATTTGGAGGATCTACAGTCGAGTAATAAACAAATGAGATACATTTTTGTTAGGGCTGTTACTGATTAAAATTTTCGTGTTCGATTAATCAAAATTTTTTTTTATTCGATTAATTTCGATTAATTATAACGCACATACAGATCCAACTACATTGGCCTATACACATACAGCACAGCAATGAAGTAATAAAATGAACTAGGATCACACTAATCCAGCACGTTATTATTCCGAGTTGCCCCACTCAAGCAGCGGCCATATTGAGTGGGGAACCTGAGATTAATAACGTGCTGGATTACTTCATTGCTGTACTGTATGTGTATAGGCCAATGCTTACTTCAGAAATAATGATGCTATTAATCATACATTTTCATATCCTCCTATTTTATTATACTATTAAATAGTGTCGCGCTTGGCTCCCTATAGAGTAAATCTATTTCCTCAATAATGTATCACTCTAGGCATACCGCTGTTCCACATTCCTTCAAAAAACTTCTGCTATGTGCCGCCAGGGAAGCTGTGATTGGCTGGAAGTGACAATGACTGAAGTTGAAATACCATAGGGCACTTTCCTTGGGAAGATCAAATATTTTTTATGGGCTCATTCCATCATGCGGTGCATAACAATAATTATGATGCGCAAAGTGCATTAACCCCTGGCAACCGCCACATTCTGGTCTATTGGATTACATGAGACAAATTTTTACTTGTTGATAGAAGTTCCTGTACTTTGTTCTTATCAAAGAGTTTGTCGCCCTCTCCCATGCTCCCCTTCCCTGTCTGGAGACCCCTGCAGTGTGTGTATTTTGCTTTTTTTTATAGTTACCTTTTCCTTGTGTCTTCAGGCCAGTCATGACATAAGCGATGTCCTCTTGCTCTATTCCCCCAGACGTGGGTAGTCCTCACGATCACGAGTGGCACTGAGTGGCACACAAGTGCAGCCGGCCCAAGTGGCTCCGTCGGCTAATGAAGGGAGGGGGGAGGAGTTCGGTGACGTCACGGACATCGACGTCACCAGACTCCTCCCCCTTCCCTTCGTTAGCCGTCACGGACATCAACCTCACCAGACTCCTCCCCCCTTCCCTTCGTTAGCCGACGTTAGCACTTCGTTAATTACTGCAGCCCTAATTTTTGTTAATAGGGTACTTAAATGCACTTTTAAGATTTGACTCCTGAGTTTAGTGTCACTTTAAAGCCCAACCCCACCAAACCTTTACTTGCGGATAGAGCAGAGAAGGGTTAGAACCTCTGTCTGGATCTTATTGCAATCTTTGTCTCTATTGGATGGATTTACCCTGCTTTCCTGCCAGGACAGGTAGTAATGGAAAATCGCTTCTGTGGTGTCACAGAGCAAACACATTTGTATTAGCATAAGGAAGGGATAGAGTTTCTGGCCAATCTTTTTTCCTGTCTGTGTCCTGTCCCGGTGAAGCTTGAGTAGAGATGTCACCAGCACAAGAATTCCATATTGGTGCAAATCCATTTTATTGATGGCACTCAAACGAAAAACACTTTCAGGGCCGCGCAGGGTCTCCATCAGGCTTAGAGATGATCTCTGAGCCTGATGAAGGGGACCGTGCGCGGCCCCCGGAAGCGCTAGTCGTTTGAGCGACATCTATCAATAAAATTTACACTGATATGAAATTCTCGTGCTGTGACATCTCTATTCAAGTTTTACTGTGAGCGGCACCATCTGCAGTCATTACGAGCACCCACTACCCTTGGGATATCCGGTAAGGAGTGCTGTAAGACATATGGACACTGTTCTGTCCCGGTAAATATCGCAACCCCATTTCTCGTCCTGGTGTAACAAGGAGCGAGGAAAACTCTCCAACAGGGGTGACTGTCCGAAATAAAAACTTGATAGAAATGTCAACTCTCTCCAAAACTTTAAAAGAAAATTTGGCCTGATTACAAAGTTCTGGATGTGCATTTGGCTGTAAAAGAATGATTTGCAGAATGATTTGCAGAATGATTTGCAGAATGATTTGCAGAGCTTCACCCTCTGCCCTGGAATAAGGAATTGTCCTCTTATTATTGTGATATGTAATGAGATACAGTACGTGAATGCCTTCGCTTTTATGAAGGCTTTATTGTGCTATGCACTGATTTTGGTTGGAGGGCTTTGTGATTTCATTAGTCCCATCTCGCTATAACCTGTATGGTTATACTGTCTCTATACAACATTTACTATGCTGTAAACCAAGGGGATCTTTTATTATATCACTTTTTATTCTGTAATAAAATCACTTTTCCCTAAACTGCAAACAAAAGACTCCTTTCACAGACCCTTTTTCCTTTTTTTGTTTATGTATGGACTGAAAGGTGATCTTCTGAAAATGTCCATAATTTCATTAGCGACACAAGATGGAGGCTGTAATGTCAGGGTCATTTTGCATCAAGTTAGATTCATAATGAGTTAGGATTTCGTAAATTGATTTTTTTTTTTTTTCAGGCTCCTAATCTCCATATCCCTTCTTGCCATCGACTTGTCTCGGGTTTCCATGTTAAATGTACTAATCTAAGCCCTCTTTCTCCATAGCTCATCTTGTAACGTACGCGGTTGTGGGACATTAGTGCGGCCAGCCATCTGCCCCGCGTCTGGCGAGGAGGAGAGGGGGAATCCTCTTTGTTTAGTGGGAGGTTAAGGTCACTTTTGTATCTGCGAGCTTTAGCCACAGTCTGGCGTCTGCTGCTGCAGCTGCAAACCTGGACTGAAATTCAATGATTGATTGTCTCGCCTTTATCCCGAGCCAAGGAAGCTTTTCACTGGCCAGATACAAAATGCTAGCACACAAAATAACGCCTGCACAGCAATGATAAATCAATGCCTATTACTGTGCAGCGTGTTTAAAGTAAAACTTGTCACAAATATTTTATTCCAAACTGATATTGGGGCGGAATCAGCAGAGGTTACCTTTTTTAATTAGTTTTCTATTTTTAAGCCATTTTTGCCTTCTCTTCACCTGGTGATCCTGCCGGCAACACACTTCCTGTCCTAGGGTCACAGCACTCACTCACTGTACAGTACCTATGTATAGAAGAACTACAGAATACATCCCCCTCTCCTACGTTAAATCAGAGACGGTGTCCTGTAGTCCTTAGAGATGCACTATATTGGCAAAAGTATTGGGACACCCCTCCAAATCATTGGATTCAGGTGTTCCAATCACCTCAATGGCCACAGGTGTATAAAATCAAGCACCTAGGCATGCAGACGCTTCTACAAACATTTGTGAAAGAATGGGTCGCTCTCAGGAGCTCAGTGAATTAGAGCGTGGTACCGTGATAGGTCGCCACCTGTGCAATAAGTCCATCCGTGACATTTCCTTGCTACTAAATATTCCACGGTCACCTGTTAAGCACCTGGGAACAACAGCAACTTGGCCACGTAAAATGACAGAGCGGGGTCAGCGCA